TAAAAGCGGTCGGAAGGGTCGAAATCATCGAATATCATAATTGGATGTGATTTTGATGAGGTATGGACCGATTGGAGCGATTATTGTTAGTGGGCCGATTTCCGTTCTTATGCGGACTTCACCTTTAAATTATCAATTCAAAGAATAATGAAATCATTATTGATGGGAAATCAAAACCACTGAAAACATAGACATTTGGAGACTGTGTTAAAGATTTATTTGTTCATTCAAGCAAAGTACCATCAAATATTACTGATAAAGCAACTGAAATTAGCACGCTAAAATTATTGGCTGGAACGAAAAAATGGATCGAAATGTCAATTATACATCTAACATACGGTCATCAAAGCAACAGGACATAAAGGTAAATTTTGGAAAGTATCGCTCAAGTACCATTGATTTACGGCCTTACTGCTGGACTAACGATTCAGTTATGGGCTTCTGAACAACCTATAGATAGCGAAAAATCAGCTACCGTAGCTGTGGCTGAGAAAACAGACATAATAATACCAGCACCAGCACCACTATTAACAACAGCAGTAGCAATAACAGCAGCAACAAGTGATCCACATACAATTTTGAAAATGAAAAATCGAGAATTACAACCAGTTGAAAAAGATCAAAATCTTATGCAATTCTTTACAGATTTTAGAATAGAAGTGAGAGAAATTGAATCTAAGTTTATTGCACGCTATAGCAAGGCGAAACTACCATCTTATTCTCCAGTTCTAAGCAATGGCCATATGGAACATGCACAATCACTTCCCCTTTTTGGTATGAAAGAAGATCGACGCAACATTGAATTCGTATGCAGCATCGAAAGACGAACATTTTAAAAAAAAATCAGCCTCCAACGCAAAATCTAAATTTTTAAATTAATTTTCAAATTTTAAATATCTCAGCTCAGCAAGTTGACAGAGAGGTTACTCAAACGGCGTTCGAACGAGAATTGAAAACTGAATAGACATAGACGTTTATGAGAGTTTCAGTATCTAAACTTTCCAGATTTTGAAGAGTTTTCCAAAAAACCTTTTTTATTTTTGTTTAGTGTACACATTTATAATTAACTTTGTAGTAATTCTATTGAATACAATGAACACATTCTAAGTCAATGAGCCTATTTTAGGGGATTTGGCCGCTATAGCATAACAATTTCACTCATGTATACTTATACTATAAGACAGCAATCATCTACATTCACATCTGTATTAGCAGAAAGAGAAAGAAAAGACAGAGCTGTTAGTCTGTCTGTTTAGGCATTTTTTCTCTTCTCTTCTCTTCTGGTGTTCTTTACACAAGCACACATAACGAAATACTAAAAAATAATAAGTGTTTTTGTTGCAACATGTCTACTCCTTGCATAGTACCCGAATAGCACACAAAAATGGTCTGTTCGTATTTCTCTCAGGAAGGTGCTCAAGAGATCAGATTGATTTCAAAATGAAGCCAATACATGTGACAGTAGATTGACAGAGTCTGATCTTTGAATATTTGCTCTATTCATTTTTGGCAGACATAAGAAGTCGAGAATCCCAAAATCCTTGGCCGCTTGTAGCCAGACTAATTTTCCAAATGGATACACCGTTTTAGAATATCCCACATCAATAACTTTACTTCATAAAACTACAACGGATAATTAGTGTAAAGTTGTCGAATCAGAAATGTTTCTCCTCCACTTTCAAAAATACTATAACAAACTTTGAAGGGCTTAATTTAAGATTATACTTGAGAAGAATTAGACATAACAGTAGTGAGCACGATGTGTAAACAACCGTAGTTCAAAAAACTACTCAAAAATATGTTATTTCTATCAAAATAAAATTGAACAAAATATAATTTTTTTATCGGTAAAAGCCGACATCCGATACCCACTTAAGCGTTCGAAGAGTCTCTCGTCTACGTGTACATTACAAAAGTACATACAAATTAAGTTTCAAACAAGTTAGGTGAAGCCTAACAGTATGCCATATTAGATTTTTCCCGCAAGTCAGTTTTTAGAGCAAATATTTTTCTGCAAAATTTCTTATCAAATTTCAACTATTGTGGCAAACTCCTCTTTCTCTCTTAATGTCAGATAAATTGTTCAATTTGTTTGCGCAGTATCATTCCGCCATATATATTTATGCAAGTTTACTAACAACGGTTTGTTCACAGATTAAAAGCATGCCAGATCCTCTAATAATTGATCTTAGTCTGAAAAATTTTCGTAAAAATAAAATGTGTTAAAAGTTCTATAATTAACATGTGCTTCCTTCATCTATCCACTTGAAAAGGTGCTTTTCGAAATTTACCAAGACGTCAGCCAATGCGTGGTTTAATGAATGTGATGTGTGAATGTGAAGAGTCCGAATTGAATTTGATCTTTATAGAAAAAAGAATCTCAAGTAGCGCATTTTTCTAGAGATCAGTTTGGAAAAGCGGGATTTATAAAAACAAGTAACATGTCGTGCCCTGCATTTTCATCTCACATATTTTTATTTTTCGAACTTCGTTTTCTTCGTATGGTCATGATAGATTTGTGGAATTAAATTCGATCTACAAGTAGTAGAGAGTGAGAACAAGTCATGAGACTATCCACGTGGAACTAAGGTCTTATTACAGAAAAATTAAATAAATGGAAAGAAAATTATTTTATTCACGTATGAAACAGTAGATTATAGTAAGAAACTTGAATATAGAGTACTGGTCACTAAAGAATGTGATGAAATTGTACTATATCCTTCCAATAAGATTCTTATCAGAATCTTATGAATTCTTATAAAATAAGTATATGATCTACCCATTGGAACTTTTAAATAACTTTAAATTAATGTACACTAATTTCTGGATGGAACGACGAACGATGGAAAATTACTTCACATCAATTTAAGAGGCCAAATTAATTTAAATTCGTTTGTAGGAAATTAGTTTACATCAATTTCGCAGTGAAAATGAACTGGAATTAATTTCTAAGTTAAAATTAGTTTCAATTAGTTTGAAAAGACATTAATTTAAATTAGTTTTAACTAAACTGGTTTGAATTAATTTATTTTGAATGAATTCGAATTAATTTCGTACTTTAAATTGCTTCAAATTCATTTCTACTCTTAAATTCATTTAAAGTAATTCATTTCGAATGAGTTCGAGATCGTTTTAATCCGTCAAATTGATGCAAACTAGCTTCGATGACTCAAAATTCATTTAAATAAATGTTTTTGTAATAGATTTGTAATAATTTTGATAATATAAATTAGTTTTAATTAATATTGAGAGTCGAACTTAGTGTAGATGCGAATTCTTCTTTAGAGGTTAACAAAAAACTATATTTCATATGTCACTTCTCTGACCAGACAAGAAATGCAAATATGTTCTAATCTCTAGAACGCTCGCTCGCCTGAGGTGAGTCGCCTCCCGACTTTCACCTCCTTCTACTGGAAGTTCAGGCTGTTTAAAATGGATAAGGACCATTCCACGTAACGGTCACCTTTTATGTCCAAATTTTGTTGTCGTTTGGTTTTTTCTCCTATCTCTTGCAATAGTTTTTAGGTTTTGAGCAAATAGTTAGATAGAGAAATGTTTTGAGATCAACAATGTCATTTTAGTTCAACTCTCTCTCATTCTTGAAGGAAAAAACTCGAACTGCGAAAACATAATTATTTGTAAAATGTGTGATTCCGTAACAATGATATTTTTCCAATTTAGGAGGAATTTAAAAAGTTTCTGACAAGTTAGAGAGATTTTATTTAGAAAAAGCATTTGTTTTGAAAAAGCAATGTTTTGAAACCAATTCGAAATTTGTAGCGTGAAAAATGACCGAGATATCTTGGAAGTATGAAACGCTATAGTCACAAAAAGAGATTTGGAGAAAAATGTGAAACAGGTTCACGAAATGAAAAACGAAGAAGGAAAGAAATACAATAATACTTCACCATAGGACGGCATTTTCAGTCGAAAAACCCAAAGTCTCCATAGTATATCTGATATAAAAATTTTAAAACCAATGTTAAGAATTATGTTAAGAATATCATGTTAAGAATTTTAATAAAAAGTTTTAATCAAATAATAAAAATAAAAATAAAGTTTTAATTGTTTAATTTTTATTTTTATTATTTGATTAAAACTTTTTATTAAAATTCTTAACATGATAGCCGCATTGGTTTTAAAATTTTTATTCTTAACTTTGCCCATAAACTCGAAAAACGATATGTGATATAGAGGCTAAGTTTCCCGAAGC